CGCTTGTCAGCATGACTGTTAGCGGCGCCAGATTGATTCTCGCTTGCAGGAGAAGGCATCGATGATGATGGGTTGCTGCACGCGAGTAAGAAAATATCAAACCTCTATAATATCATAGCGCTCAGGTCACTCACGCGCTGGCCACTTCAACCCCGGCCTGGGATATCCCTCCGAACGAGAGTCTTTTGCCATCAGCCGAGACAGGTGCAATTTCCCCAGTGTTGGCGATGTACGCATGGGCAATAGCTGCAATATGACCTGCGAGAACGTTTAGACCAGCTGAATGCCTATTCGCAATCATATGGACTACGTACAGGGTATCTCATTCAAGTCATCTACCGGCAGAACCTTCAGAGCCGAGATATATGGATTGCTCCCGCCCCGAATAGCTCCGATCACACGAACATAAGGCTGCCCATGAATATGGAACCTCCCGACACAAAATATACGAGTCCAACCGAATCTAGCGGTGCATTACTTCCCGTTCTTGAGAATTTCGTTCACTTTATCTCTACCAGTGGTATCGGACTCCTCTGGGACAAGAGAATATCACGAGCGCGAGGTAAGTTCAGCTCACCGAGATACATCTTGCATCGAACACTCCCCGTGAAGTCATCCAAGGTCCAGTGAATAGCCAAGCCATCATGTTCGACATCTCTAGCGTTACCTACGGTCAAACAGCAGGCCATGGAAGTTTCTACACTCCTATTCAATGGGATTGGGGTCCTGCTGAGTATCAACAGTGCACTAGATCGATACTATAAAACAGAGATTATACTTCACATAATCGTCAAGCTCCTGACTGATGCTCAGAGAACCTACCGAGAATCTCCACCACCCTCGCAGCAGCTCCGAACACTTCAATATCATCCCCACCTGAGCATCACATAGGTGTCAGATTATCTGAACGAATTCATCGAGACAACCCACCTGAGTGTTGCGTCACTGCATCGTGGAAGACCCTCACATTCACTGGTATCAACGGCCGACGTGGGGGCTTCTTATCTCCTGAAAATCAACCAATGCCATACCATGAACATGGGAAATCACTTGTCACCTCCTCCGGTATCCATCCCGGCACCGAACGACATCTGAAGATAACAGCCACTGATTTCGTATAGCTAGGACTATACTCGCACATTT